ATTCATTTAGTCCATGTGTTTTTGCTAGATACTTTATGTACCTTAATTCATGTATTCCTCTCAATGGCTTTCCAGGGGTTTATTGTCGCCTTTCAGAGATAAGGAAACTGAAGCTTCTAGAGTGTCCAGTGAGTAGATGATAGCATATACACCCAGTTTATTTTAATTTCAGAGACCATCATGTTCTTCTACTAGGCCTCATTCCTTGTACACTGTACAATGCTCTCTAAACTCTGGTTATTATGAATATATATATTTTTAAATCTCTTTCAAATATTAAAAAAACCCTAGATTTGATTTAATAGTAGTTACCAAGCAAACACTAATATATCCACCATCCAAGTCAGGACTAGGAAAAAAGCCCCCATATAATCATTCCCATCAGTCTGTTTGTATTTCTTTGTGGTTTGCTTTATTTTTACACAATAGAAAAATGGGTGGAAGACTTGGGAGAAAAACAAACAAAATCATACTGAACTTCATCAGTAATCAAGGAAGTGCAAATTAAGACAATAATAAAAGACACTATTCTTTCACCAAATTGCCGAAATTTAAAAGTCCAGTAATATTGGCAGTGAGAACTCTCACACAGGGTTGACAGGAATATAAGTTGGTACAACCACTTTGGAAAATAGTGTGACATTAATAAGTAAAATGTATATCCCCTACAATTCAGCAACTCTATTTCCAAGTGTATATACCCAAGAAAACTCAATGCATTGGCATGCTGAGATACATGACCAAAATGCTCACATCAGGAATATTCATCATTACCTCAGATTAGAGATAGGCCAAACAAATGAACATGAACAGTAGATGGGATATTTAAATTTTATATTTTCTATTCAGCTGTCTGCCATTTTCCTCATTGATTTGTAGAAAGTTTAAATGTATGTATGTAAATACATTTATACCCACAGACACAGAGATATATACACGTGTATGCATGTATATGTACACTGACTTTTTACTGAATAAATATGATATAAATATCTTGTCCCACATACACACATGCCTTGTGAAATAATCACAGACTAACGACTGAGAAATCTCATGTTATGAACAGGAAGTAGGATTCTTGGGCTTGGATCTAGATAGATGAGTGGTGGTATCCTACAGAAATTCTTCTATAAAAGTGTAATTTCTCTATAGGGATGCAATTGCTCTTAGAGGCCTAGACTTTTCATCTGGTTTGATGTGAACGAGCCCCAGTTGCCTAAAGAAGTAACAGACTGAGGAATTGGTGGTCCATGCTAATCTTAGTGGTCTACTTTCTCACAAGCTCCTACCAACAGGCATGTGCAATTCCATTTCCACATTTGGGTTCAGGCATTAGCTCCCATTCAGCTCTGCTCATACCATATTTTCCCGAAAATAAGACAGGGTCTTATATTTATTTTTCCTCAAGAAGACACCCTAGGGCTTATTTTCAGGGGATGTGTTATTTTTTTAAAGTATGGTACAACAATCCACATTTATACAAATATAGTTAAGTCGTCTTCTTCTGGAACATCATCATAACTCTCCAAACTCAAATTCCATCCTGAATTTCTTGTGACTCTATTTCCTTTGGAACCATTGACCCCAATCTCTCATGTCGAGCAATAGAGCTCTCATGAGGCAGATGAGAAGGGCTGTGCGTCTTTTTCACTCCTCCGCGACAAAATGCATGGGTTGTGCAGATATGCTGCGTAGCCATGCCCATCACTAGGTCTTATTTTCAGGGTAGGGCTTATATTGCACAAATGCTTAGAAATCCTTCTAGGGCTTATTTTAAGGGTAGGTCTTATTTTCGGGGAAACATGATAGTATTCTTACCAATAGCAACGCTATCGTCAGAAAGAGAGTGGCAATTGTGGAAATGCTTTCCCACTGATTTTCTCATTTACCTCCACAACACCCTTGAGGAAGGTATAGCTGGTGCTATTATCTTCACTTTGATGAGGAGGAAATTGGCTCAGAGGTAAGTGGCTTATGCCAGTCTCACAGCTGGTAAGTGGTAGAGTTTTGACTAGAAGCTAGGATAGGAATCTTGGAATTTTGCAGTCTTTGTACATTATCTCTTCAGAGCTTGGCTCAAGTCCCACCTTCTCTAAGGTGCCTTCCCTGCTCACAGGATTATGTCTCATCCTTAAAGAGTTCTAATTATTATTTTCTGTACTACTCATTTGACAATGGTGACAAAAGCCTTGAAGGTACGGGCTAGAGGCATAGGCTTTGTTCCATTGCACTTTGTAAGCTGCTCCTGAAGCACAAACAATGCTGAAAATCACCTGATTTCTTTACCAACATCACATCATGACTTTCCTGCAGCCTGTGACCAGTTAACATTGGCTGGGTCTTGGCTGTCTTTATGGGCTGCAGCATTCAAAGAGCCAAACATCCCCTGATCCATTCATGTTCCATGGGGTGCAGAAAAAATTCCTGCCAACAAAGTTATTGAACACTGAATCATTAATCTCAAAGTGCATTACTTAAGTCAACATATATGCAGGAGGCTTTGCTCTGTTGAGGTAGGAATTACATTTTATAGTCTTACATTTGTTTGCATTCTCCAGAGTACCTTCAACAGGGCTGGGTCTCACCATGAAAGACTGTAAGTGATTTACACATCAAATAAGACCTCCGTGGAAATTTACTGGAATATATGGCTACTTTTCTTTTCTCAGAGCACTGGGCAGGGAGGGTTGGCTCCTCTTTGTAACAGTAGGCAGGTAAGTTAACTTCTCAAAGCTTTGGGTTCCTTAACTGCAAAACCGAGGTACAAATACCTATCTGGTGGTGAAAAAATGAAGGCCAAAATGTATTTTGACACATAAGAACTTTACAGAACATAAAGTCTGAAAGGAGTCAAGCAAGATTTGGTTATCCATGGGTTTAAGCAAGTTAAACTGTAAAAATCAAGGTTTTTAGTCGTAAAATGATAAGGTTGGTTTAGATGATTTTCAATGGCTCTTTGAGCCTTTAGCCAAAGAGCCTATGACTCTGGAATTCCAGCTTCAATTGTCAAGGAATCCTAATATTTTAATTCTCCATTCCCTATACATAAACCTAAACAAATCATTGAATCCACAAAGGAAAACTTCTGTATAGAATAATTCAATCATAATCCATTGTTAAAAGAATAGTCTATCCTGATATAAATAACTGCCCTGATTTATGTGTTTTCACATTCTCTTTTGGACATTTCAGGTAGGAAGTCTCACTGGGCCTTTATTGCACTGCCTGGCACTGCAGGCTCTACCCACAGTGTCTCTCATTCATCAGACTGTTCCTGCAGGGAGAGGGTGGGTGTTGTTAATAACCAAATAGGCATTTAGTCTCCAGTTGACAGATTTCCCATGTGGAAGTGAAAAGCTCCCCACTGTAATGTGTACTCCCTGAATTGATGTCTTGCTGGCGACAAGACGTCTCCTTCTGAGTAGCTTCTATAAATGAATACTCATGTAATGTCAGCTTGAAATGTGTCTGCTCTAGAGGTGGGAGCTTGGAGGGCAGGAAGTTAAACAAGAGATGAAAATAAAATCTTAGACTTGGATGGGTTGAAAAGAGTGAGGGAGCTCAGGAGGCTGGTGAGAAGGACAAGGATGGCTAAAGTGAAGAGCTGACACAGGAATCTCATCAAATGTGCATTCATTGTGATGGGCAGGTTCACATATCTGACTTCATGTTATCTTCACCGTTTATCCTGCACATTGGGTTCAGAGAAATTAAATTAATTCCTTGAGGTCACATAACTGCTAAGAAGAATAAGGATTTTCATACATCTTTCAGTACTAGAACTGGTATTCTTTTATACCTATTTACAGTCAAATGTAGCACTTTTCTGAGGGGATTTCAACAGAAAATAGAAATATGTAGGCATTAGGATTTCAATTCTTAGAAGACCTGCATTTTTCTGCCTACAATGGGGTACAGAGTCATAAAGAGACACACCCAGAAATATACCTTACTATGCACTATAATAGTGATGATGCACAGACTCTAGACTTTTCAATTTTCACAGAGATCTAATGGCTTAGTGGTGAAGAAAGTACTTGCTTAAGTTGAGCACAGAGAGAGCTTGAAGAGAAAAGAAGGAAAAAGAGGAGGAGAAGAAGGAAAAGAAGAAGTAGAGAAAGAGGAAGAGGAGGAAAAGGAGTCAATCATATCAAATAGGGGGAAAGCTGAGCTAAGGCTGGAATGTGCACAGCGCTGGGATAGCTGTTTCTCAGACTCATCTCCAAATCTGGGCACTTGTTAGCTCTGTGACTTCTATAAGTCGCTAAGACAGTCTTCTGTGTGTGGTGCATCCTGGCCTTCAAAGGCTGTTTTCCAGGTATGTTGCTGGATAAGCCTCGCTGCTGGAAGGGAGAGGATGCTCAAGGGTAGAGGAGGCAGGTGTAGCTTGCCCAGGCCTTGGGTCCCAAAGCCCCTGATCTTTACAGGTGGTGAGAAACCACCTGTGCCAGAGAAACCTTTTCCTCAGATTGGCCTCATGTTCCAAAGCTCCCTCTTTGCTCCTTTCTCCGCAAGACCTATGATTTATCCACCTCAGACAAGAGCTGCCCTGTGCATAATGGAATTTAATCATCTCAAAACCAATTTGACCTTCTAAGCCACCTGATGGAGCTGACCAAGATTTATAGTTTTCACATTTCAAATACAAATTGATTTGTCGGGTACTTTTTTTCTTTTTGGAGATTTAGAAATCATGAACTCTGTGGTGACTTCAATTAATCATAGCTGTGAACACCATCAAGCACTTGATGTGTGAGAAGTAAAATTAATCAAGCCACTCCCTTCCCACGCACACACATTTGCTCACACCAGCTAGCACCCAGAACAAGACCCGAGGGAGGACTAGCGCTGTGTGCCAACGTGCCATTCCTATCTTAAAAGTAAATTTCCAGGCAGGCTTTTTTATTCTTATACCATCTACTGAGAGAACATCCAAATGCAACAGGGACCCAGAGGTGAGCTGAATTATTGAAAAAATAAAAGCAAAGAAGGTTCAGAAAGCTATTGCCCATATTCATAATAGATCCGCCAAACTTGAGGGTGCTGAGAAATGCAAGCATTTAATTCTGAAGACAAATATCTCCTTTCACAGCCCTTGGGAAAATTGTTTTTTTTTCTCTAAACCTTCTGCATGTTTTGGTAATTATGTTAGAAAGAGGCCAAAATCATAGAAGAGAGAGCAGACTCTTTAAAGGAAGGTATATTTATTCAGGTCAAAGTTTAAACAATTTATCTACTGAGACTATTCCATACTTCTGCATACAAGGTGGCTTATTGTTTCCTAGCAAAGTCATCTCAGCACTTTAGCAAAAGGGTGCATGACCAATGAGGAAGGGTGGGAATGTGGGTAGGAATAGAAGGGTAGGGAGGGGAAAAGATTTAATTCTGGGCCACCTAATTCTTGATCCAGTGCCCTGTCCTTTAAATTATGACCTTCTGTGAAACATTATTGAAAAGATTGAAACATCTTTCATCCGCATTAGAAACTCTAACTTTCAAACTCACAGAACAAAGAAATGAGCAACATAATACCCTGCATTCAGTTGATAAATATTATAAATGAAGATGAGATCCTTATGCCAAATTAAATAGCAAATGGGAATTTCTTACCATTAAAAATAAAGAGAGGAAAATTCAGCACATTCAGTTAAACACTTCTATCTTCTGCTTTAAACCATATCAAGAAACTAATGCAAGAAAAGTTTAAACGTCTTAGGTTGTGATTCATTAAATATAAGATTATCTTCCTGAGTAAGACATTTCAAGGTGCCAGTTTTTGCACCTTCTCCTAATAGCAGAAGTATCCACTGTTCCAGGGGAAGAAAGAACTAAAATCTGCCAAACCTCAAAAGTCACGATGGCAGTTAGGTCTGAAAAAAGGTTGATCTCTTAGTTACTTGCCTACTTCCTACTTCTATTTAAAGATTGAAGGTAAAGTTTGTTGAGCATTTTCCAGAGAGAACTTTTAACTCCCTTGTTCCTAAGGCTGTAGATCAAGGGATTCAGCATGGGGGTCACCACCGTGTAAAGCACAGATGCTATTTTGACTGTGTCCATGGACTGGCCGGAGCTGGGCTGTGAGTACATGAAGATGATGGTGCCATAGAAGATGGACACTGTGGTGAGGTGGGACCCACAGGTGGAGAAAGCTTTCTTCCCTGCTTCGGCCGAACGCATTCTTTGAATGGCAATGTATCTGAAGATGTAAGAAACGAGGATGACCAGGAGGGTGAAGAAGACATTGACGCCCACGACAAAGAAGACAACCAACTTGCTGATGTGTGTATCGGAGCACGAGAGAGCCAGAAGTGGGGGGGATGCCACAGAAAAAAAATGATTAATCTCATTCGAAGCACAGAAGGAGAGTCTGAAGGTGTCTGCTGCAGGGACAGAGGCATGGAGGAAGCCGCAGACATAGGAACCGGAAGTCGGGAGGGCGTGCACACCCGCTGTCATGGCGGTGGTGTGATGGAGAGGCCTACACACCGCTGTGCGGCAGTCGTAGGCCATGGGAGCCAGGAGATAGCACTCGACGGTGGCAAACCCCACGAAGAAGAAGAACTGAGCTGCACATCCATTGTAGGAGATGACCTTGTTCCCCGACGGCAATGCGGCCACCATCTTGGGAGCGACGGCTGACGAATAACCCAGATCTACGAAGGAGAGGTTGCTGAGGAGGAAGTACATTGGTGCGTGGAGACGGGAGTCTGACTGGATGATCGCCATCCTCCCCCCATTCCCAACCAGGGTGATGAGGTAGATGAGTAAAAATATTTAAAAGAGGGGAACCTGAAGATTGGGGTCATCTGTTAATCCCACGAGGACAAACTCTGTCACTTCTGTGCTATTCTCCATTGCAGTCAGCTTGAATTTAGCCTAGTGATCAAGGCACAGTAGACAACAAAACTCAAATGAAAATATAAGAGGGGTAGTGAGATAATAAAAAACCAGGAAACCAATATATATTGAGAATGTACTATGTGTAAGACATGCTAGACCCTTCCATTGTATTATATTATTATTTAATCCTGTGAGATAGGTGCTATTATGCCCATCACACAAATACGAAAGTTAAGGCTCAGAGAGGTGACTATAGAGCAAGATAGTCTAATTGGTAGGACTCAGAATCAAAGTTCACCCCTTTATATTTCTGAATCCAAAAGCCGTACTCCGAGCTTGAATTCTGTTACATGGTTACATCATATATATGCAAATTATGATGTGGATGTGCTCGAAGCATGGTTTTATTTATTCAATTTTTAAAAATCAATGAGAATAAATACATCATTCCTTATCTTCCCTATTCCACTCCCAATAAAATAGCCTCACTAGAGATTTCCTAAAATTTTCAATGCACATATAATTAAAATTAATAATTATAGAAATCAGACCACAATGGAGGCGCGGAGCAAGATGGCGGACGAATAACACCGCCAGACAGAGGGTCTCTGCAGAAAAGACCGATTCTAGCAGAAACTAGAGGAAAGAAGCCTACCTTTTATCAGTTCTCTCCAATTAAAGTGTGATGGCCTTTAATACTCCCACTCAAGAGACATAGGCTGGCTGAATGGATAAGAAAATACAGGCCAAGTATATGCTGTCTAGCGAAACACATCTAACCTGCAAGGATGCACATAGACTAAAAATAAAAGGGGTGGAGATCAATATTCCAAGCAAATAGAAGCCAAAGAAGGCTGGTGGTGTGCAGTTCTATTTCAGGACGATTTAGTTTTTAAACCAACAAAAGTAGTAAAAGACACAAGAGGGTCATTATATAATGGTGAAGGGCACAGTCCCAACAAGAAGAGATAACAATTTAAATATATATGCCACCCAACTTAGCGTGCACCCAGATTCATAAAGCAAACCTTACTGGAGCTAAGCAAATGGATTAATACCAACTCCATAATCGCCGGAGATTTCAAACACCCCACTGACGGCACCGAGACAGATCCTCCAAAGAAAATTAATAAAGAAATAATGGACTTGAACAAACTCGTCAGAACAATTGGGTCTGACAGACATCTACAGAACATTCTACCAAATCCAACTGAATATACGTTCTTCTCATCAGCTCACGGGACATTCTCTAAAGATTGACCATATCCTAGGACACAAAGAAATCCTCAAGAAATTTAAAAAATAGAAATCAACCATGTACCTTCTCAGATCACAGTGGAATAAACTAAGAAATAACCTAACAGAAACTCACATTTCTACAACAAAAATGTGGAATTAACAACACCTCTACTAAATGATACTTCGTAATGAAGAGAATCAAGACGGAAAATAAAAGCTCTATGAAGAAAACGACATGGAGAGACAAGTTATCAACTCCTCTGGACACAGCCTAAAGCAGTTCTGAGAGGAAAGTTTATCTCCATAAATGCCTATAACCAAAAGGCAAGGAAGATCACAATAGACAATCTAATGAAACGACTCAAAGAGCTGGAAAAGAAGAACAGACCACCCACCCCAACCAGCAGAAAGAAGTGAAATCAACAAGATCAAATCAGAACTAAACGAAATTGAAAACAGGAAAGCTATCATAGCATGGGATTAATAAAACAAAAAGTGGTTCTTTTGAAAAAATAAACAAGATTGACACGCCGTTGGCTAAGGCTTAACGAAAAGCAGAAAAGAGAAATCTCTAATAAGCCTCCATCAGGAATAAAAAAGGAGATATCACAAACTGATCCAAAAGGATACAAGATACAATTTATGAATACTACAAAAATCTTTATGCACACAAACTGGAAAATGTGGAGGAAATGGACAAATTTCTAGAAACACACAGCCTCCCGTAGGCTCAACCAGGAAGAAAATAGATCCCTGAACAGACCATCTCAACAGCTGAAATAGAAAAGCAATTTAAAAATCTCCCTAAAAAGAAAAGTCCGGTCCAGGAGGCTCACACCTGGAATTTTACCAATACTTACAAAGAAGAACTAGTACCTATCTTGCAGAAACTATTCCACAACATCGAGGAAGAACGGAAACCTCCCCGACACCTTTTATGAAGCGAATATTACTCTGATACCAAACCAGGAAAGGAGCAACAAAAAAGGAAATACAGACCAATATCCCTAATGAATATAGATGCCAAAATTTTCAACAAAATCTAGCTAACCGGAATCCAGACACTTATCAAAAAAATATCCCACCACGACCAAGTGGCTTCATCCCAGGGATGCAGGGATGGTTCAATATACGTAAATCTATAAATGCAATTCACCACATAAACAGAAGCAAAAACAAAGACCACATGATTCCTTCAATAGATGCAGAAAAAGCTTTTGACAAAATTCAACACCCTTTCATGATACGAACACTTAAGAAAATAGGCCATAGAAGGGACATACCTAAAATGATACAAGCCCATATATGACAGACCCATAGCCAACATCATACTGAATGGGAAAGATTGAATCATTCCCACTTAGAACTGGAACCAGACAAGGCTGCCCACTATCTCCACTTCTGTTCAACATTAGTGCTGGAAGTCTTGGCTACAGCAATCAGACAGGAAATGGAATCAAAGTATCCAAATAGGGGCAGAAGAGATCAAACTTTCACTGTTTGCTGATGAATGATGATTTGTATCTAGAAAACCCCAAGGATTCAACCAAGAAACCTCTGGAACTGATCAACATGAATTTAGTAAAGTCTCAGGATACAAAATTAATACACAGAAATCAGAGGCATTCATATACGCCAACAACAGTCTAATTGAGAACCAAATCAAAGACTCAATTCCCTTCACAATAGCAACAAAGAAATTAAAGTACCTAGGAATATATTTAAACCAAAGAGGTAAAAGACCTCTACAGGAGAACTATGAAACACTGAGGAAGGAAATAGCAGAGGATGTAAACAGATGGAATCCATACCATGCTCGTGGATCGGCAGACTCAATATCATCAAATGTCTATTACTACCAAACTGATCTACAGATTCAATGCAATACCTATTAAAATCCCATCAGCATTCTTCACAGATATAGAAAAAATACTTTTACGCTTCGTATGAAGCCAAAGAAGACCCCGAATATCAAGAGCAATTCTAGGCAACAAAACAAAATGGGAGGCATTAATATGCCAGATATCAAAGTATACTACAAAGCTGTAGTAATTAAACAATATGGTATTGGCACAAAAACAGGAATATTGACCAGTGGAACAGATGTGAGGAATCCTGATATAAACCATCTCATATAGCCATCTCATCTTTGACAAAGCAGACAAAAACATAAGCTGGGGGAAAAGAATCCTCTTCAATAAATGGTGCTGGGAAAACTGGATAGCCACCTGTAGAAGGCTAAAACAGGACCCACACCTTTCCCTCTCACAAAAAACCAACTCACGCTGGATAACAGACTTAAACCTAAGATATGAAACTATTAGAACTCTAGAGGAAAAAGTTGGAAACACTCTCCTAGACATCGGCCTGGCAAAGAGTTTATGAAGAAGTCCCCAAAGGCAATCACAGCAGCAAAACAAAAATAAATAAATGGGACATGATCAAACTACAAAGCTTCTGCACAGCCAAAAAATAGTCATGAAAGTAACAGACAACCTACAAATGGGAGAAAATTTTTGCATCCTATGCATCCGATAAGGGACTGATAACTAGAATATACTTAGAACTCACGAAAATTAGGAAGAAAAAATCAAATACCCCATTAAAAAGTGGCAAAGGACTTGAACAGAAATTTCAAAGAAGACAGAAATGGCCAACAAAACATATGAAGAAATGCTCAACATCTCTAATCATCAGGGAAATGCAAATCAAAACCACAATGAGATATCACTTAACCCCAGTGAGAATGGCCTTTATCAAAAAATCTCCAAACAATAAATGCGGTGGTTGCGAGGAGAGAGGAACACTCCTACACTGCTGGTGGGACTGCAAACTAGTTCAACCTCTGTGGAAAGCAATATGGAGATACCTTAAAGCGATACAAGTGAATCTACCATTTGATCCAGCAATCCCATTGCTGGGCATCTACCCAAATGATCAGTGACACTCTACAAAAAAGACACCTGCACTCGAATGTTTATAGCAGCACAATTCATAATTGCAAGGCTGTGGAAACAGCCAAGTGCCCATCAATCAAAGAATGGATTAATAAAATGTGGTATATGTACACCATGGAGTACTATTCAGCTCTAAGAAACAATGGTGATATAGCACACCCTTATATTTTCCTGGTTAGAGCTGGAACCCATACTACTAAGTGAAGTATCCCAAGAATGAAAAACAAGCACCAGATATATTCTCCAGCAAACTGGTATTAACTGAGTAGCACCTAAGTGGACACATAGGTGCTACAGTAATAGGGTATTGGGCAGGTGAGGAGGGGGGCGGGTATATACATACATAGTGAGTGAGATGTGCACCATCTGGGGATGGTCATGATGGAGACTCAGACTTTTGGGGGAGGGGGGGAAATGGCATTTATTGAAACCTTAAATCTGTACCCCCATAATATACCAAAATAAAAAAAAAAAAAAAAAAAAAAAAATAAAAGGTGGAGATCAATATTCCAAGCAAAATAGAAGCCAAAGAAGGCTGGTGTGGCAGTTCTAATTTCAGACGATTTTTTTAAACCAACAAAAGTAGTAAAAGACAAAGAGGGTCATTATATAATGGTGAAGGCACAGTCAACAAGAAGAGATAACAATTTTAAATATATATGACCCAACTTAGGTGCACCCAGATTCATAAAGCAAACCTTACTGGAGCTAAGCAAATGGATTAATACGAACTCCATAATCGCCGGAGATTTCAACACCCCACTGACGGCACGAGACAGATCCTCCAAACAGAAATTATAAAAAATAATGGACTTAAACAAAACTCTAGAACAATTGGGTCTGACAGACATCTACAGAACATTCTACCCAAAATCCACTGAATATACGTTCTTCTCATCAGCTCACGGGACATTCTCTAAGATTGACCATATCCTAGGACACAAAGAAATCTCAAGAAATTTAAAAAAGAAATCATACCATGTACCTTCTCAGATCACAGTGGAATAAACTAGAAATCAACCCTAACAGAAACTCACATTTCTACACAAAATGTGAAATTAAACAACCTCCTACTAAATGATTACTTCGTAAATGAAGAAATCAAGACGGAAATAAAAAACTTCTATGAAGAAAACGACAATGGAGAGACAAGTTATCAACTCCTCTGGACACAGCTAAAGCAGTTCTGAGAGGAAAGTTT